GNCCCCCCCCCCCCCCCCCCCCCCACCTTTTCAGTCCTGTAAAAGTGGAAATTAAACCCTCTTAAGTCTGACAAAAGCGTATATCTTTAATAGCCACTTCATTTAATGGCTTTATTAAAATAAATGCTAATATAATAAAAAACGGAACGAAAGTTTGGTCTAATTTTAATTAGACTGCTTAATCTCTAAATTCACCTCTGATCATCTGGATCCGTTGGCGTCATAAGAGCTTCTGACCCCACACCCCGCCTTGGAGAATTTTGTAACAAGTATAAAGCAGGGTATGGAGTGTACAATAAAAACAAGCTGTGGATCCTAAGTTCAAAATGTCTTGGAGAATTTTTAAAGCGTTTACTTACATTGCGTGAGTCTACAAGTTGAATCTAATGGTAATGACGGAGGAATTAGTGAATTATCAACACACGTAAATTGACTGTGTAAATCTTGTGTGGAGACCTCTTTGATAATTACTTGTTGATTTTTGGCATCGTGTGTCTTGAAAACTTCAAAACGATCATCTAATGATTTACAGTTTCTCTGTGTATCGCATTGTACTATGAGTATCTGGTTACGATACCATCGAATACCATTGTGTATCTTACTCGATAACATACATCGTAATACAGTCGATTGGCCTAAAATAGCTCTTTTACCACAGTCTGCTTCCGTTGTTGCCCATGTCTCTACAATTGTACAATAAAGGTTTACGCCCCATTGTCTTATTATGTTAAATCGTATGTTACTTATTATTATAGGAATAACTAGAACTTAGACTTCAAACTTGTTTTCAGTTTGTGATGTGATCTTAAAAATCTAGTGGAATATTACTAGACTTGACTGAAAAACGTGACCTGTTCAAGTTACAAACACGTGATTTAGAAAATATGGTTAGAGTAGTATAGTTTAAAAATAGTCTCAAAACCTGGGATGGCATGCTTGCTAATCTAATGGTCGACAAGGTTTTACAATCTGGTTTCTCCTGTCAGTAATATATTTCAAAGTTGATGATAGATGCAAAAGCGTCTTATCAGTCGGATAGGACAGTAGACCTTTGCATATTCTGCGTGCAAGAGTCCTTGTAACTGCATCAAAAACAGTAGGCCAATGTTGCTTTCCTGTCAAAATTATCCATCATATTAAGTAGACAATTCAGGAGCATAAAGGTATGGCGTAAAACCCCATACCGTTTCATTTCAGCGACGGTAATACCAACTTACTTTCTCGTAGCCGGCAGGTAGAATTATCATTACAATCTAGACCATCGCAACAAGTAAAACTTGAAAGTAAATCACTGTAAGTTGTATTGCTAAGCGTCACCTGTTGCATATTGGAGGGATGAACATCAACTCCAACTCTGTATAGAGCCGGGTCCTCTGATTTGCACTTCATGTCCCGAAAGCAAGTAGCTATGAGAACATCACCTCGCTTCCACGTTATACCATAGGCCAGTGTTCCGTAAACGGAACATGTTAGTAAAACCGAATCTCCAACATCAGCAGGTTTCCCACAATCGGCTACAATCTTTAAGCTACCTGAAAATGTAGAACGAAAGTCTGGACATATAAACCGTGTGAAAGTTTCAAAGCATGAATCAATAGTGTGCTTTTGAAAAGCTGAAAAGTGTCTATAACTGTAACTTAATTATGACTAAATTTGAATTAACTTTCGGTAATAATTTTTGATCTTCTTTCATACAATTCTGCTGGCAATAAATGAGTTTCTTGATGCACTGGATCTACTGGTAAAAGATTGGATAGATTAATTGAGCGAAAATGCTTTTGGAGCAAATGATTGCAGACAGATATTCATTGACATGATCATGTAAATAACATTAATGTAATACCACATATTAAATTGAAGTTGTCAAGTCAATGTATATAATCATATCGGATGAAATTAAGACATACATGTATTTGCAACTTAGTGTGTCCAAACTAGCATAGACCTTCATACAGTGACTATTATGACCAGATAAAATCATTGAAGCAGATCAATGAGAGAAGACAGAATTTTAAAAATGACCCGCCTTTATTAGAGTTGAATGGCAAATCAACTCACAATTTTAATTAAATGCATTTATTGCTTGTTGTCAGGACATTCGTTTGGTTCTTTAGTCAAGTATCTTTCAATTTTGTTTATTTTCGATATCCTCGCTTGTGAATTAGGGATTTAAGATTGGCTGAAATGGGCTCTTTCTTTGCTCAACAGGTTTTCTGCTTGATCTGAACACAGTATGTGATGGAGTGAAATGTACGTTTATCTAGATAATTTGAAAACTCACCATGTATTTGATTAACAAGAATACAGATAACAATTCCAAAGTTCAAATTTTGTGGAAATCTATACATAATTGGGAGCGGATTGCAACTGAAACAAAATGGAAGATAAAAATGCAGTTATGTTTGACAACCGAGGCTATTCGATCGAATAGCACTAACTAAACACCGGTTTAGTTACATTACGGTTGAACACCATCTTTAAGCCTGGCGCAGATAACGGATTTTGTCTCCAAAAACAGTGTTACGTATTTAAGTTTTTATTAGCCGCAGACTATGGACAGTGTTCAAAAGAAACATTGCGTATGCTGCTTTGCCACATGACTTTTGTCTCAAAATACATACATATGTTATTTCACATGATGAGATATATGTTGATTGGTTGAGAATTGATAACGCAAACGACAGACTCCAAACATTGGTTCCCAATACATTTGTCCATATTTAAAATAAGTTTGATTGTCATAAAAATGTTTCTTGAAATAAAAAACTATGTTTATCACAAACGCACACGGCGTGAGTTTTAACCCCTATTATAGTTATTTATATAATATAAGATATTATTTAAGATATTAACACCAACGCCCAAGGTGTAATGTTCGTCTGTTCTATTGCTTACGATATACATACAGTAATATAGCCCATCGTTTATTTATAATAATATTAATATATTCAGCTGCATACAATTTCAGCTGCATACAATGAAATGAATTGGGTTTCATGTACAAATTTTACAACTACATGTACCTTTGATCTTTTCTTAATCCTTAAGCGACATTTAGGTGTAGAGATCACATTAAATAACGGAACACAACACGACGTTTCAACAACCAGCATCATCTAGACCCTCTACTAAACCACACGTTCATACCCGACAGAGTGATAAATCCAATTTCAATCTACCAAAACCAACCAAACCTATTCTCATCATTGGATCGTCAAATTAAGGCCGTATCCCAGAAGGCACCTCAGAAACCCAAATAGAGAGCTTTCCAGGCGCAAGAATCTGTCATTTGAAGTCTATCATCACTAAAGCAGAAGCCAGTCAAGTACCAAATAAAGTAATAGTACATGTAGGTCTAAATGATATACAAGAAGATGGTAATTTCAACCACATCCAAATGTTGGAACTGCTGTCAATTGTCCGAAACAAGTTTCCAAAAGCCTCCCTGTATGTCACACCGATACCAGTTTCTTCATCTCAACGAGCCTGTCCTGGAGCCTTCAAGAAACTATCAAAATTCAATGAACTTATCACAGCTAAACCACCAACCAATACCACTACCATTCCAGAATACTCCGGATTCATTAAAGTTCAAAACGACAATATTCATTGGACAGAGATGACAGCCAAGAATGTATGTCTCACTGGATGGCCCATTTAAACTAGATGCGGGGGTGGACCGAAACTGGATAAAACAGTAGTGAATCTGAGCTCAAGATCATTATCTGTAATGGAAGAAAGTCTATTGGACAAAGGCCTTAAATTTATACCCACGACAGTGCCTTCATCCATTGACAAAATTTTAGATGCCACTTGCAAATTCGAACGATTAATAAAACTGGCCTATTTTTACTGAAAAACCCTTGGTAGAGGAACCCGGAAGAAGTTTGTGGAAAAATCTGAGTGGACTACACCAGATGCCCTAATACATACCGATATTTTAGAAATTTGCGATAACATGCGATTTGAAACTTCTCTCTTACCATTGGTAAAAGAAAATAGCAACTTGACGCGCGCTGAAAGGACCATTTTAAACAACCTAAAGAACGATAAAAATATCATACGGAAAAGCGATAAAGGAAGCTCGTGTGTCATCTTAAACCGCGAAGATTACATTAAAGAAGTTGAAAATCAATTAAACAAACGCGAACATTGCCAAAATTTAGATGCTCCGATGTTTAAAGAAACCGGCAGTGTGATTAATGACATTTTAAAAAAATTAAAATGACAAAATTATTTCAGATAAACAATACGACTATCTTTCGGCTAGTTCTACGGCATATTTATACCCTCCCGAAGATCCATAAGAACCCGGAAACAGAATGGTCTTTACCAAACATTATACCTAAGGGTCGACCAATCATTTCAGACTGCTCCAACGAATCTTATCGAGTCTCAGAATACATTGACCATTTTTTGTTACCTTTAGCGTGCCAACATCCATCATATATAAAAGACAGATCCGATTTTGTTGAAAAAATAAAGAGTTTAGAAATCCCGGAAAATGCCTTCTTCATATCAATGGACGTTAGTAGCATGTATACCAATATTGACAAGAAGCCGGTTTGAACGCTGTAAAAAAAATGCTTTGAGAGAACTCTGAAATTCTTAAATTACTCGAAATTTGTTTAAAACGGAATGATTTTTATTTTAACGGTAAGGTTTATCTTCAGACTTCAGGAAAAGCAATGGGTAAGAGATTTGCCCCAAACTATGCCAATATATTCATGGCTGAATGGGAACGCGAAATTGATTTGATCTCTCCTTTCAAACCAATTTTCTTCGGACGTTTTTTGGATGACATATTTTTAATTTGGCAACATACTATTCAGGAATTCTGGCAATACTTCGAAATTCTAAATAACCATCACCCATCAATCAAATTAACAGCAAATATTAGTGATCACAGCATGGACTTTCTCGACACAACCGGATTTTAATGAAACTAGGAAGGCTGATATTAAAGTATTTTTCAAACCCACTGATACCCACCAACTTTTATTGAAAAGCTCTTTTCATCCTAAGCATACATTTTCAGGCATAATAAAATCGCAAGTTTTACGGTTCCGTAGAATTTGCGCCAGAACAGAGGATTTTGATGATGCGTGTAAATTAGTCTTTAAGAAATTGCGAGATAATAAGGGGATATTCAAAACGATATCTCAGCAGCATTAAAAGCAAAACTCTTTCAGAAATTGAGAATAGGAACACAATCCTCGTTCCGGTAAACTCTAATCAATCTTTCGGATCATGGCAGTGCAGATCTACAAGATGTAGAACCTGCGAGCATATTTTAACAACCAATTCTTTCTCTAATAAGCATAACGGTAAACAATTGCCTATTAACGGTGAGCTTTCTTGTACCAGCACAAATATCATTTACCTAATTTCATGCGACAAATGTCATTTACAATACGTAGGCGAAACTAAAAACTCTTTGAGAGAAAGAATTAAAGGCCATCGTTTCGACATCTCCCATCATATGGATAAACCTATTAGGAACCATTTCAACTCTCTCAACCATTCCCTCGCAGATATGAAGGTGGCGCCCATTGAAAACGTCATCGCAGAAGACACCAACCCTAAAAGTTCAAGACTATACAGGGAGAGCTTTTGGATGAATCAACTAAAAACTATTTCACCCTGTGGACTAAATATACAGTTTGATTCTCAAATAATCCCGTTTGTTGCTCCATTCAATAACATTTCTTGCCAAGCATCCCGAATTATCAAAAGATACTACACAGAGTAACAAAATAAATTTCCCACTATTTTTTACAAAAAATTAGTCATGGCTTATTCGAAAAATAAAAATCTACAGGATATAGTTCGTGGTCGACTTGACCCCACCGATGATGTAGAGTGATCTAACAGAATTAAATATTTTCATTTTCACTGTCTTTGTACTTTATAGTATATAATAGTCTAAAATAATTTACTTTCTATACCTGCAGCTATTAATCGCTTTTCTTCATTATTCCAGAAAATTTGAAGCAGTCAGAGTTTTTATGATTCTGTATTTTCCACAGACAATTGTCCCATTAATGTTATTTCCGTAAATTTAGATTATAAGTATTATGAATTTCTTTATTAGGTCCAAGAAGATTTATATGATAACCGTTATGATCTTCTTTGATTTAGTTCATTGCATATTAGCATCACAATTATTGTAAACATAACTTTAACCCTGTGCCAGTGCCTTATATTGAATAGTAACTTGTTACTCTTCAATCACCCTAATCTCTAATGTCAGAGTAAAACTCCACTGAGCAACAAAATGAACTTCGTCCTCTAAGGTTGAATGTGCACAATAATTACAAATACGATTATGGAGTGGAG